CCACATATAAATAAATAAAATAAAGGGCCATCAACAACTAAAAAAAAAAAAAAGTTAAAAAAAAAAATCGTGTGTGTGTGTGTGTGTGTGTGTGTGTGTGTTGGAAAGTGTGTGGTTTGTTGTGTGAAGTTTGGGGAAGCCAGAAGAACAGAGCCTAGGAAGAATCCAGTGTTTTTAACTCAAGCAACTGGCAGTTAGTGATGCAGTTACCCAAGATTTGAAAAACAAGAAGTGGAAGAGCCGGTTTGGGGAGGAAGATAATGAATTTTAATTTTAGAACTGTTGGATTTAAATCATGGTTGGATTCATGGCAGTTAATGCTTTTTCTCAAACATGTAGTGAAAATGGTTAGAGGGCAGTTGCAACTGGGGAACAACAGCAAAATGAAAGTAGGAGAGAAAGAAGAGGAGCAGCCTATGGGGAACAGAAAAGTGGCCACAGAGATGTGGTGGGGGAGCAAGAGAAACTGGGGTAGTGGGTGACTTAGAAGACTCTTTCCCAAAAATAGAGATCCTTGGCAGTGCCTGGTGTGAAGCCTGAGGTGACCTGGGATGAAGACTGAAGAGGGCTTTGGCTGGAGGATAAGCTTGGAGGCATTGTGTAAATTGGTAGGGGTGGAAACACCACCTGCCTCTTTGGAAGGAGAATGGTGTGGAGGATGGAGGAAAAGACTTAGATGTCTCTTTGAGAGAAATTAGCCCTGGGCCATAATTTGAAGGTTGTTTACCTCAGCTTTCTGTCATTGTGACAAATAACCTGAGATAACTGAAAAGGAAGAAAGGTTTATTTTGGCTCATGTTTTCAGTGGTTTAGTCTATGGTTACTGGCCATGTAACTTTGGGTCTGTGGTAAGACAGAATATCATGTTCGGTAGGGGTGTGTGGTGGACCCAAGTTGCTTACTTTGTAGCAGTGTGAAAGCCAAGAAAGAGAGAGGAGGGGCTGGATCCCTATTATCCCTCAAGGGGATGCTCCCAATAACCTAACTTCCTGTAGCTAGCCCCACCTCCTAAAAGCTCTGCTACCTCCCAATAACACCACAGGCTAATGTCCAAATATTTAACTCATGAGCCTTTGGGGGAACATTCCAGTTCCAAACTGTAGCCGAGTTGTATCCCACTAAATCCCTGAAAGACACTAAAGAACCACTTGGACACCAATCCAAAGATTGTGTTTCCTCTGTCATTCCTGACTTTACAATCCAAATCTATTTTTAGTGTTCATTTTCTCAAATAAATAGGCTTCCTTTAAGTCAACAAATTTGTCTAATTGAAAAAGTCAGAATAGTTTTGTACTTGATAAAACGTAAGATTGACTCTGTTCTTTATTAATTCCCTTCTGTGGTGACATGAGAATCTTAATTCAGCAGATCTAGGAAAAATAATGTTACTCTTATGCTGCAGATCATTTTGTTTTTCTTTAAAAATTTAGAATCTTCTGTTTCATCAGGCTAACGGTGGCCTAATCTTAGCTTTCATTATATCTGTGTGTTTAAACTGTATTTAATTTGAGGGAATTTGATTTTATTTTAGATGCTGTGATGTTGGTAGAGAACATCTCAGCATCTCTTTTCTGGCATGGAGAGCTGAAACCACTTGATAATTCTTCATCAGTCACAAGAATCTAGGTTTCCCCAGTAATTTATAATCTTGTTCCATCCATTGAAAAGATAATTCCCCCATTATCAACTTGTGACACTCAGCTCCTTTGTAAGATGCTTACCTGCCATATATTTTGTAGAGAAAAATAAGGAAGTAGAAATCCTACCTGAAATCATTGTTTAGTGGCTGGGGTTGTGGCTCAGCAGTAGAGCACTCACCTAGTGCATGTGGGGCCCTGGGTTCGATCCTCAGCACCACATATAAAAAATAAATAAATAAATAGAATGAAGGTATTGTGTCCATCTACAACTAAAAAATATTTTAAAAAAATCATTGTTGGATCATTTTATGTTTAATATAACCATAGATATGTTCACATGCAAGGCATTTCAGAGATAATCTACTGAAAGAAAGCATGTGCAGAGGTGCTTCAGGGAGTGTCACAAGGGAGAGGCTATACAAGCAGGACTCTACAAGCCTTGTCCTGAGCTGTAGTTATAATACTTTCTGTATATTGTTTTGGGGAGGAAGCAGCCTGAATAAGATTTTCATTTGAAAGTAGGGTTTTGAAAGTAAAAAATACTTGAAAACGATTGTCATAGTGACAGAGAGAGGCTCTACCAAGCTCAGTGACATACCTGAGATCACCTGGTTATTGACAGGAATGCACCTGTTATTGCCCACATGGCAAGGGTCAGTACAACAGTCTGCCAGACTGTAACTACAGTCTCCCCTGTTAACAGTTTGAGAGAGGTGGTTTTAACATGTTCAGAGACTTATTCATTTCCATAAGAACAGCCTTTAGTGGGGTGGTTCTTCTGATCTAATGTAATTGTGAATCTCTTCCCTCTGTGGCTCAGGCTCATTCTCCTTTAGCCTATATTTGGTAGAAAAGGCTAATGTTCACTTGCTGTCTCCCAGAGTATGTAGTTGGAGACTATTTAGTAAAACTCTATCCTGTTTTTTATTCTTCATGCTGAAAAACCTCAATTAGTGTTTTGAATATCTAGCCCATCGTTTATCTCTGTGTTCTTATATAGCAATAAATTCTACATTTTAATTGGCTTTAAGTCAGATTTTTTTTGTGTGTATAAGCATGATCACTTATTTTCATCACCACATGTGAAGATGACCACTTTTTTCATTTAGTCACTCTAAAATTTAAGTGTACGATGCTTTTTGTTTAGAATTAACCAGTAATTTTTTTTCTATTCTTAGTAAAGGTTTTTTTTTTTTTAAATTCAGATTGGTATTCATGAGACTTATTATTAATGAATGTTATGACTACATCTGGACAACCCTATTTAAACTGCCTTTTGCAAAGGGCTTTCTGTTGAAAACTTTTCTATATTATTAGCAGCATGTTTTTTCTTGCTAAAAAAAAAATCCTGTACTCATTCTTGAATTGTTAGTAATTATTTCTTGAGAACAACAATTGTGCCTAACTCATCTGTATTTTCCAAAGTTCTAAGTACTTTGTCTTGTACAGAATAAAGGCACAAGTGTAGAAAAAATAAATAATTTTATAACACATTTATGTGTCCATCTGGCATAGCAAGTCATTGATTCTTTATTCAGTGCCTTCCTTGTTTTTCTTTTTTACTTCTCCTTGTTTTTTTTTTTTTTTGGTCCTGGTAAGGGGTATTCAACCCAAGGATGCTGTACTGCTGAGCTATATCCCCAGCACTTTTTCATTTTGAGACAAGATCTTGCTAAGTTGCTGAGGCAGGCCTTGAACTTTTGATCCTCTTGCCTCAGCCTCCCAGGTTGCTGGGATTACAGGCGTGCACCATATGCCTGGCCCTTGCCTTTCTTTTAATTCTTAGATTCTCTTCCAAGTTTCTCCCAGAATGTGGTCACTTGAATTTTAAACTTGTTTTATGGGTGGAGAAACTTAGGCAAAAATTTTTATTACTTGCCCACTGGGCCCTAGGTTTGGATTTAACTGCCAAATTAAAATGAAGAATGAGTAGGTTATCTTCTTGAGTCAAATAGCTTTAGGAAGAACTTTTTAAAATAAGTTTATTATAAAATACAGAACTAAAGGACTACTCTGGTAAGCTCATTATATTAAAATCTATGTCTTTTTTACAGAGTAAAATATGTAAATCATAAAAGGTGAAGTTTTCGTAATTTACTGAGTTTACTATAAAACTGAAATCTGGTTTAGAAAATGATTTAAGAAAGTCCTGGGAAATGTAAGAATTTAGGATGTGTTTTTGGGTGGTGAACATGAAATTACAGAAGTGGAAATAGAATTCTGCCTTTTGCTGAACGGGCTATCATTCTTGGACATTTATAGGCTGATGTTATTTCTGTGAAGTCATGATCTGTTGCTCAGGATGTCGCATAGTGATCCTCTTGGCATCTTAGAGAGTAGGTTCTCTTGGATGATAGCATTGTGCATTTTGCAGCATGTGTAGCAGCTATGCTTTATCATCATGTCCTTGTGTGGCAGTTGAACAAACAAAAATGCCTTGTCAAATTTGAGATCCCAGCAAGGGGGATGATAGTAGTCCTTGATGGGACACCACTGGTAGATGAATTATGTGTCTATAAACCACTTGAAATTATTCAGCTAAATATGGTCAATATTGGAGGTATGTTTTGTTTTATTTATAAATATGTTATTATTTTAAACATAAATTTAGCTAGGTGTGATGGTTCATGTCTGTAATGCCAGTTAACTCTGGAGGCTCAGGCAGTAGGATCAAAAGTTCAAGGCCAGCCTCAGCAACTTAGAGAGAGCCTGTCTCAAAATAAAATAGGGATGTGTGGTAAAGTGATCCTGGGTTCAATCCCTAGTGCCTAAATAACTAAATAAATAATGCAGATCACTATGCTTCATTCCGGGACAGCAAATAAGTGGTTTGTAAATTAGATTTTAGGCAAAAACCTATGATTTATCAATGACTAAGTGAATTATAGTATTATACAAAGAAAAATATTTATTCTTTTTTTTTTTTTAAAGAGAGAGTGAGAGAGAGAGAGAGGGGGAAGGAGAGAGAGAGAGAGAGAATTTTTAATATATATTTTTTTTAGTTTTTCGGCGGACACAACATCTTTGTTTGTATGTGGTGCTGAGGATCGAACCCGGGCCGCACACATGCCAGGCGAGCGCACTACCGCTTGAGCTACATCCCCAGCCCAATATTTATTCTTGATAGATTTTTCCCTTATTTTAGCAGAAAAAGTAATAAACTTGGTGATACTTATATAAATAAGTATTTTATTATATTTATACTTTTATGAAGGCCAAGGAAGAAAGGATGAAGCTTTCGGTTTATGATGAAATAATTCAAGTGTGCTTTGTGTGCAGCTTCCCATCTTGCCTGGATAGACTTTCCTCTGTGTGGGTGCCAGTGACACCTGATACCAGCGTTTCATGTTTTGTTTTCAGGATCAGTTCAGTGATATGAGAATCAGCATAAACCAGATGCCTGGGAACAGCCTTGACTTTGGGTTTACAATAAAATGGGATTTTTCCAGGATCTTTGTGGCATCAGTTGAGGAAGGTAAATCATAGATTTTACTCTACTGAACTGTCTTCTCCTTTGTTATCCTATCCTGGGGGGGTGGGGGTGGGTGGGAATTGCAGAAATTGATTTGTTTGTTATAAGAGAAAAAAATATATTTACTAATTCATTTTACTAATGTGAAAATTCATTAGTAAATAAAGATGTATCCTCTTCCCTGAGACTGTTAGCTGGGGTTGCAGATTCATACATTGTTTATTCCTATTGCCTAATTAATTTTAGTTTTGAAGAAGACTTTTTACAGAATTTTTCAATTTTAAGCTTATTTTTTTGAAATGCTAACAAATAGAATTTATTTGCAGATTTTGATTGAAATTTTTATCAGTAGCCATTGTGTTTGTTATTTAGTGGTTTTGGGGATTGAACCCAGGAATTGGCACCTGCTTGGCAGGCACTCCACTACAGACCTACTTTCCCAGCTGAATGTGGTGTTTTTTGCGCATACTAATATATCTATTGTTTATGGAGGCAAAAGGTCTTGAGATATTTGTAAAGGGATTACCTCCTCCACCCAGGGTCATAACAAGTTAAACCCAGAAACTTTGCCAATTATTATTACAAGGCCTAAAATTAAAATGAGAGCTATTATATTTAAGAGGAAACCCTTGTTTATATACTTTAGCTACATAAAATTGCATGTCAACATTGATTTTTCTTTTGATTGCTTCAATTAGGTAGTGGTATTTTAGTTATGGTATTAATGTTATATAATATTAAGTGTCCTTATTTCTTTCTGCTCCCTTCCAGAGAGTATCAGATGTGCAAACTCAAAGTATAGTACATGTCACATTTAAAATTTTTTTAAAATAGTTGTACACAATACTTTTATTTTATTTTTTTTATGTGGTGCTGAGGATCCAACCCAGGGCCTCGAACATGCTAGGCAAGCACTCTACCACTGAGCCACAATCCCAGCCCACGTATCACATTTTTAACCTGAAAATAATTAAGACTTTCTTTGTCCTTAGGAGGTTAATAAATTTTATTGGATAGTGAACTTATCATTTCTCCTTTCAATATCAATGAAGATGCATACTACTAGAATTAAAAAAATGCCTTTGGTGCCTTGTTTGTTGCAAATACTCACCCCAAATATTTGATAGCTTAAAAAAAATCTAGTGACTCTTCTGCATCTGAAAACAATGAGAAGTTGTTAGTTGAGATTAAGATGTTATTTTTCCTTAATTTAAAGAAACAGTGACTAATAGACCATAAAGGATTTTAAGACAATTGATTGTTTAATTTACTTTACGTTAATTTTAGGTAGCCCAGCAGAATTTTCTCAGCTACAGGTAGATGATGAGATTATTGCTGTTAACAACATCAAGTTTACATATAAGGATACAAAAGAGTGGGAGGAAACCATGGCTCGTGCTCGAGAAACTGGAAACCTAGTGATGGATGTCAGGCGCCATGGGAAGTCTGGTGAGTGAGTTTTACTGTGTCTGGCTTTCTAAGTTGGGAAACTGGTCTTTGGCAAGTGGTTGTAACAATTTGCTTTAATAATTTTGTGTTTTTTCATTTTACTTTGTTGCTTAAAAGCTTCTTGTTTTTATGTTGGAACAAATCTTGTATAATACCTCTTTCAGTATGCTGTCTGAAAACTCTTCATTAGCAAACTTACTGAATTCTACATTATATGACTAGTTTATATCCTGATTGGACTGAATGCAAACATCAATTCAATGCAAATGTAATTGCATTTGGAGTCATTTGTAAGGATGTTGAATATTAAGAAATACTGTGCTTTAACTTTCTCTGCAGTAGCGTAACTGAACTGGTATAAAAGCATGATTGGTCATATTCCTATTATTGTTCTCAAAGAACTTTCAGTATACATTTTCTATCATTGTATTTCTGAGTTCCCAGTTGAGGTTGGATGTGAAAGGGCATACCTACCATCTTATTACATAAAAATATAATATTTAGTCTTGGTTTATAGAAAGATTCAGTAAATTTGCTAGTCTTTTCATGACTAACATGATTTAACTTTTGTGTTTGGGAAGGTGATTCTTCTGCACACTACCTGATATGTCTGTCTGTCTGTCTTATATATGTGTGTTTTGTATATGTGCATTTCAGTAACTTTATTCTTTCCACATCATCATTTATGTGTACTCATTTCTTGATCTTCATGTGCCAATCAGATTGGGGCAAAGACCAGCCTTCCCTGCCATTTATACGGCATAAAACCCTCAATCTCACCAGTATGGCTACCAAAATTATAGGTTCACCTGAAACAAAGTGGATTGATACAACTTCTGGAATTTACAATTCAGACAAGTCTTCAGATTTATCAGTAACAACTGATTTCTCCGAAAGCCTTCAGAGCCCTACTGTAAGTATTTTGAGAACTAGGAGTATACTACAGAGACAAAGCCATGATATAGATTATATCTGCAGAAGAAAATTTATTTTTTAAGCAATTTAAATACCACATTTAAAACATAAGTAATTGAATAAGGTAATGTATAGTAAAGAGAATAAAATGTATTTTTGAAAGTCATAAGGCCTTACCCATTAATGGGGTATTATTAGTGACTTATGTAATGGTAAATCAAAAGATCCCATAATGTTGTTTTGCAGGTATTTCTTACCAATCTTTCATCATTACAACAATCTCTCAGATCTCATGAATGTGAAGTAGCAATTATGTAAAATTATACACTAAAACTTCTATATGCTCTTTAGTCTTCACTGGCAAAGGGAATGTAGTCATTGTGTGCAATATAAAACCTCATCAAGCATTTTTAGTTCTTGTGTGGGTGTATTTGATAGGTAGAATTATGTGTGTGATTAAGATATAATCAGTTCCATTAATTGATTCTAAAATTATGCAGAATTTTTTTAGGTGTCAAATAATACTTTTTTATATAGGCTTTGAAAACAGTGTGTCTATTTAGAGTATGAATTGTTCATTTAAATTAATAATTTAAATTTGTAACTAAAACTTTTACTTAATAGAGATCTTGCTACATTCTAAAGCAACAATTTAAATGTTAGAGATTCCTATATGATCATTTTACTTAGTCATTAAGTTAAGCCAAATGGATTAAAGACTATTTTGTCCACCATATTTCTTAGAATGTTAATGTCTGATTAAACTTAAGGTCATCCTTGCCTGAAGCTAGTCATTAATCTTTCCACAAATAATGAAGAATAAGTCTCTACTACATGTAAAAAGCTTTTGAGGATCAATAGCCTTAAAACCAATCTTGTTAAAAGTTACTCTCTCTGATGAGAAATGAATTATTTAAGCTCAAAGTCCAATAGAAGAGAATATTAATTAGCATGTTTGTCCTTTCTAGTACACTGAATCCAAAGAAATCAATGGAATTCATGATGAAAGCAACACTATTGAATCAAAAGGTAAACATCACATTATCATTTACATCTGTAATGTAGAAAAAGTCATAGCTCCCAAGTTCTGCTATTCTAAAATTAATTTCATTGAGAGAAAAACTGATCCACTGCAAGTTGAAACTAAAAGGTTAGCACACAGATCCAATTGCAAACAGGTGGAAGGGCGTTTGATTCCAGCGTTAAATAGTTCAGGAATTGCAAACAAAACTTTGGCAGCATGTTCTGGGTGCCTGTGTGCCTAAGCCAAATAAGAACAGGTTTTCCTGAGACCAGCAGCTTTCTGGCTGTGGCATGCTGGCAAAGGAAATCTTCATTAAATAAAAAACAATGAATGAAGTTTCCTTTTTCCCTTTATTGTTGTGAAAGAGACAAACTTGGACACAGCTAATCTTAATAGAGAACTGCCAATTGTAGTAACAGTTGTTAGTGGTCACACTCCTTATTTTAAAAAAAAGGCACAATATCTAGGGAATTTGGAGTTATCATTCTCTTTCTTTTTCTGCTCAGACACAAATAATTTATCTATTGTATACCATGTACCATTCTTCAGGCATACAAAATACACAACAAAGATCTCTCTGATCAACATGACAGGGAAGGATACCCAAAGAAGATGAAGCTTCATTTACCATAAAATCAGGCTGCCAAGAATGGGATGGATTTGTATAGTGTTTGTTAACTTTCCCACTTTATTGTACACTATGTCAAATCCAACCTAAATTTATAAATTTCCTTTCCCTCATTGATTATTTCTCTTTATATTTCATTTCCAATAGAAATGACTATATTTTAATTTTTTTAAAATTTATTTTTTAATCAAAGGAAGTTTTAAAACAAGCATTTCTTATTTTTCTTCCTGATACCAAATCTCTAAAGCATCTTGGTCCTCTTCTGCCAGTGGCCCAGGCAGAGCCAACTGATAAAGACATCTAATGCTTTAGTGACAGTAGGACTATACACAGGCCCTGCCATTTGAAGATTTTGTTTAGAAAAATAAACAGCAACCAGTATGAAGTAATAATCACATTTATATTTTATGCCATACTCTTGTCACAGATATGTGGGAGAAGTCACTGTTTTCTAATTTTTTTGATTGAAGTTCATTTTGTCTAAGTTAGCAGCTACAAGATCTTGAAAACTAGAGCAAAATATTTTAGATTGAAAAAAATCATAATTTCAGCATTTGTTTTCATTTGATCTTCCTGTAGCTATTATTTATTTTGTTGTCCTCCTCCTCCCCAATAATTTTCAGTTCTTATTCATCAGTGTTATGAAAATTCTTTGGCAGAAAAAATGTTAGATTGATTAACTTAAGCAAAATGTGTTAATTTTTATTTCCCTAAAGCTTTGTGACCTAGCACGGACTGTATGACTTTCACAGCAGTGAAAGTATGAATGTTGTCTATTAAAATTTATTAATGAAGATATTTTTTGTTCCTTTTACTAATTTAAATGTAATATAGACTACTAAAATATATGTGTCTGTATCCCTTGAAATAATTCATGTTTTCTGTGGCTGTTAGTTTTGTCATTAAAAAAAAAATTGATACAGATTTGAAAGGTGTGTCAGGTATCATTTAATTTACCAGTGGTGAGAAATTAAAATGAATGATATGATATGGTATTTATTATTATTATTATTTTTATTTTCCAACTAGCATCTGAACCCATTTCTTTGAAAAACTTAAAAAGACGATCACAATTTTTTGAACAAGGTAAACCACAAAGCTAATAGTATGTTCCCTTTCATGGACTTGTTTTCATTCTCCATTCTTCTGATGGTCTGTGGTTCTGGGAACTGAGCCTCTTCAGTTTGGCTGTCATTATGACCCAGCAACATAACCCATTTCCATTCTTTCCCTAGGCTCATCAGGCTTTTCTTACAGTTCATGGGTCTACCTCTGTGGTAATGGGTCTTTGTGTGTCCTTTGTATAGCTATAAAGGTTTTTTCTCTTTTAACTGATTAAAAAACAAATAAAAACAAAAAACTGAGATGCTGTTAAACACACATGTCTTTCCACTGGGTGGTAACAGTAAGAAATGAGGAGTTTCATTTAAATCTTACTACTTTCTACAAATTGCATAATGTTACACTACACCAACATACAATTGACCAATCTTTAAAAACTGACCTGTTTTTGGTTGTGAAAATGCTCTGAATAAAGAGTAGAATTATTTGTTGCTATGGGATGGTGGCTTTGGAATGTCAATGTGACTTCAAAGTAATAAATTAATTTGAGTTGCATCTGAGGACAGGTGCATTTTGGGCTTCTTGATGTTGGTGTAGGTTGGGCAGGGCTGTTTCACAAATACGTGATGCATGTGACATTTCCTCCCTTTCACGATTGTTGGTTGCTCTGTCTCATGAATGCAATTTGAGCTCTGTTTTTTGCTATGAAGAACTTAAAAGTAATGTTCAACATTCGAGATGCAACAGCTGGAGCAGATTGTGCTGTTGTTGTCTAAAATGTTATTCTTCCTTTTAAGATTACTGAAACACAAACCTGTCTTATAACATGATACTGGACTTGTGTATATTGTGTTAATCACCTACTGTTCTTCCTTTGGTGGGTGAAGGTCACTTTTTAACCAGAAATAGCTTGCATGTCTGTTTGTGTCAGTATCCTTAGTGTTTTGGTTCATCTTTTAAATTAAACTATTGTTTTCTATGGTTATTTAAGTGAAATAATATTATACTCCTACTCAAATTGGCCAAAATAAAATAATTTCTTTTCTATCTTGATTCTAATTTTGATTTTATTTTCTTCAGTAAACTATTCTGGGAAGACCATTTTTCTGTCTCAAAGCAGTTTTCTTAAAAAAATTACAGAAGGAAATACTTTAACAACTGAGGTTTCAGGAAAATTTACAAATAGCATATACTAATATATTTTCTGAAAGTTTACATTTTTATGATCATTGTATTATGTACAGACACATACTTATGTAGGCTTCTAAGGATAAAAATAATAAGAATGTGCCCTGAAGTTCAAACATGAAACTTGACTACTTGTTTTGCAAATGATAGTAAAGTTACATGTTCTTGAATATGTTGTAGTGGCACGTTTTTTTTTTTGTTTTGAATGACTTGTAGCTGTCATACTACAATTACACAGTTGCAAGTAAATAACTGAATTTGTTATATGTTGTAACATTTGAGATTCTTTTTTTTCTGTTAGACCAAACTGTGAGATCTTTTATTCTTTTAGTAATAAAAGAACCCTAAAATGCTTTCAGGATGTCCATTGATTCAGCTCTGGTATCTGGAGCTAGTGTGTGCCTTTGGCACCCCTGGATAATCTTCTTGTTATTGGCTTTGAATTTGAAGAATAACAAATGAAACTAAAGGGAAAAAAGGATATATTGACTTGTTTTAAAAAAGTTTATGTCACTTAGTATACTGACATAGGGATAGTTAGGATGTAACTTTCTGAAAGGAATTATTTCATAGAAACAAAAAGACTAATATTGTATTTTTTCCCTCCTTGCCCACATGCTGCAAAGCAGGAAGCTCTGACTCTGTGGTTCCTGATGTAAGTAGTATTCATTTGTAGTTGGGAATAAGTAAGGTGAGCTGGTGGGAACAAACTCATATGCAGTAGCTTTGCTTACATTATTTTCAGTTGCATAGGGTATATCCTCCAAGTTGAGAAGAGTTACTTTGAAATATTAAGCTAGTTCTTCTCTGGTACAGTACAAAGCAGAGTGTAAGATGAATAATTGATATTTGTGAAAGTGGTTCAATAGATGACTTAATGAAACTCCATTGTTGTTCTTTGATAACTGGTTAGCTTCCAGTTCCAACCCTCAGTGCCCCCAGTCGCTGGGCATGGGATCAAGAGGAGGAGCGAAAGCGGCAGGAGAGGTGGCAGAAGGAGCAGGACCGTCTACTTCAGGTAGTGTGGGATGGCATGAGTGAATAGGAATTAGGCTTAGCTTTCATGGCTTCTTTCTGGTCCATGTCAACCAGTATAGAAAAGCAAATTTTAAAAAATAAAACCAATAGTTTCATCTCTATTGTTTTGTAGGTAGCACATTTTGCGTTAATTAGATTTCCATTTTGAAGATTTCCAGAGTTATCCTTTTAAAATAATTTTTATTAGCTTTTATATGTACTTTCAGAGTACATGAGGGGTGCACTCAGGAAAGGTAAATAGTCTTTGTGAGGACTTAGTTCTCCTCAGTGATTGAGTAGGTTCGATACGGAATAATTTAGTCTTTCTCACAGCTGGAAGCTTTGAGGAATTATGTCCATGGTAAAGGGTAGATATGCATCTAATTTGGTATATGCACACTTTTCTGACATCTGCATTTAGTTCCTTAAAATTCTCTGCTACTTTAGGGACTAAAATCTGGTTGGTTAAATGAAAATAAAATCATGTATTTAAAGGTTGAGGTTAGGGAGAACCAAAGTATTAATGAAAGATTCTGTTTAAAATGTAAAGTTATTAAAAAAATGAAAAGTTATTAATACTGATTAATACACTGTGTTTTCTCACAGGAAAAATACCAACGTGAGCAAGAGAAACTGAGGGAAGAGTGGCAAAGGGCTAAGCAGGAGGCTGAGAGAGAGAATTCCAAGTACTTGGATGAGGTATCATTGAAACAGGCTGCTTACTTCCTTCTCTTTACCTGGTTGGTGAAACTAGCTGAGAAGTAAGGGACTCCTCATTTCCTCTGAGTTTGGCCACATGTTCACCTCTCTAGTTTTTTTGAAAAAAACTGGTTTAGAGTTTGGCCTTGATGTTTCAATCTTTCTCTTAGTTTTTCTATTATATCATTAAATAATTATATTAATAGAACTTCAGTGCTTCTTCCTCCAACTTATATCTCAGTCACTTGGGAGGCCTTCTTTAGCTATTATCCTAGCTACTCAGGAGGCTGAGGCAGAAGAATTGCAAGTTTGAAGCAATTGGGCAACTTAGCAAGACCCTCCCTGTCTTAAAATAAAATGACTGGCGGTATAGTGCAGTGGTATAGTGTGTGCCTAGCATGTGTGAAGTCTTGGGTTCAATCCTTATCACCACCAAGAGGAAAAAAAATCAATGAAATTTTGGGCAACTACAGTTAATACCTAAAAATTAGTATCTATGTATGTGAAATTATTGATATACAGATTGAGATGGATTTCTCTTTTCCACTGGTCACATAGGAACTGATGGTCCTAAACTCAAACAGCATTTCTCTGACCACACGGGAACCTGCCATTGCCACTTGGGAGGCCACCTGGAGTGAAGGGTCCAAGTCTTCTGACAGGGAAGGAACTCGAGCAGGAGAGGAGGAGAGGAGACAGCAGGAAGAGGATGTTGTTCATGAGGACCAAAGACAGAAGCTGCAGGAACAATTCATTCTTGAGAGAGAGGGGAAACTGAAGGAGCAACAAGCTCAGGAAGAACAGGAGAAGAAACAGCGGGAGGCTGAGGCTGAGGCGCAGAAGCACCGTGCAGAAGAGCAGAAGCGCCAGGCAGAGATAGAGAGGGAAACTTCGGTCAAAATATACCAGTACAGGAGGTCTGTCCCCACCACTGAATGTTGCACAGGAGTTTAAATAGGATTGGCTTCACTGTGTGCATTACACTTCAAAGCACCTTGTTGGTCTTCTGCTGCTACCATCTTTTCTCTGCACAAGTGAATGCAAGAATCCCAACAGAGCCTTTAGATCACAAATCTAATCATGTCACCATAATTCCCTCCTCAACTCTCCAGATGGTTTCCTGTCCCCTTAGAACACTGTACAGTCCTCAGCATGGTACAGAAGTCTTATCCAAGCCATGTCTTGGTCCCTTTGTCTACCACTTAATGCCCACCACTCTTGCCCACATTTGTCTGCTGCAGCCATACTGGCCTCCATGTCCAACGTACTCTGCATCTGGACTTTTATATTTTCTGTTTCTCTGCCTGAAAATGTCTTTCCTCACCTATTTGTGTGGCTTACTCATTTTATTCAAATCTCTGCTCAAATGTCACCTTCTTAGATTTTCCAGAATACCTCATTTAAAACATATGACTCTTTCTTTCTTGTCTATGTGCCCTTATCCTGCTTTCTATTATGATGTTGTCTCTCTGTTGGCCTGCCTGCCCCAGTAAAGTATAAGTGCAAAGAGGCCAACAAATTTGTTTTGTTTACTTCTGTAGCCTAGCCCTAGAGCAGTACTGGGGCATGGTGGGCACCCAGTACTTACTTGTGGAATGAGTGATGTATGAGTAACCAATGTCTGTTGGCAGCAGAAGGAAAGTAAAGCTCAAAGTGATAGGTTGAAATACTTTATCTTTGGTTATTAACCCATAGACCATTTACATAAAGAGGCTAGAATAACATTATTTTGGAATCCTTGTCTTAAAGTTTTATATTTTGATTGTAAGTTTTTATTTTTTGGTCAATCTTTTAGGCCTGTTGATTCTTATGATATACCAAACAAAGAGGAAGAATCTTCAGGTTTTCTTCCTAGTGACAGGTGGGTAAAACATTTTATTTGTAGTAATTGGTTTCACCTAAATGGCCCCAGTTCTGCATAGAAACTATTTTGTAAAACTACTTTGCCCTTTGTCTTTTGTGGAATACAAATAGAACTTGCTGGTTAATCTCTGTTATCAGTTAGCTTTTGATGTGTAACAACTTCCCCTAAACTTAGCGACTTATGATTTTGTGGGTCATCTTTCTGGATTGAGCTAATCAGGCAGTTCTTTTAGTTGACTGGGCACCCTCATGTATCTGCTACCAGTTGGCTGGCAGCTGGGGCAATAAGAGCAACTGGGGCATGTGTCTTTCAACATCCAGTAAGTCAGTGGGGTCTTAAGTACATGGCATTGGGCAGAAAAGAGAGGCTTAAAGAGAGAGGAAGCCTACAAGGCTTAGGTCTATGCTATTGTCTATAAAGTTGCAAGGCCAGCTCCATTTCATAGAGGGGAGGAGTCACATTTGCAAAGAGAAATGGACATGGGAAGAATTGTAGAATTGTGTCCTTTTACTTTCCTTTTTTTTTGGTAATATACCATAGCTTTAAAAAAATTATAAGTAATGGCTTCAGATTACCTAAAAATAGGTTGTATAAGGGCATATACAGTGAAAATTGTGATCTTTCTTTTAGTCTGTTTGGAACCAGTTGCTCAGTTTTGAGGAATGAAGATAAAATTTCAGATAAGTTTCTGAAAATGTGTTTTAAAACTTCCTAAAGCATTAAGTTTTAATGTTTAATGTAATTTTTATTTTTATTTATTTATTTATTTTTTAATGGAATTTTTAAGGTGCTTTGCAGTTATGAAATCATTAAGGACTTCTGAACAGAATTGGTCAAATATCTAATGTAGGACCAATAGCTTATTATTGAAGAGATGAAATTCCTCCTTGGGGAAATTTGATTTTATTTTTAGATATAAGGGAAACTTATAGGCAATCTGAATGACTGAAAAGGACTCAGAGTATAAAGGAAAAAGGAAAGGAATGACTAGGTAGGAATGGGCCAACAATAACTATAAAAAATTATCTAGTGATAAAAGACCTTATTTATAATGAATCTGAGTGTAAGTCATTAAAATGTTGATCTATCTTTTAGAACTATGTATATTTAAAAAGCTTTATTTATATAGTTTGTTACCTTGGGGAAAATAATTACAATGAAGTGAAAAAACTTAATTCCAGAAAATATGAAATCCTCTAGACATTGCTGATAAAGCCCTAGAGATATCAAGAAGTGTGGCTCTATACCTGGTAATAACTGGTTTTTCCTTTGTAAATAAGTAAAGTTTTTCCAAGAATGTGTGTGTCTATCAGTTGTGGTACATTATTATGTATTATAGATAATTGCACTGCGTACATAAGTATGTTGTATTCATATGAATAACACTACATGTTATTGTAAAATACTCTATATTATTTTGTGTTATGATTACTATTATTTTTGAAGCTCAGTGTGCTTAGTAGAGTGAGAATAAAATTAGCATTTGTTGATTTCTAGAACTAAAGTTAAAAATTTTCAGAAGCTGCTATGCAGGTTGGGCATGATGGCACACGCCTGTAATCCCAGCAGTTCAGGAGGATCACAAGTTCATAGCCAGCCTCAGCAAATTAGAGAGGTCCTAAGCAATTTATCAAGACCCTGTCTCAAAATAAAATATTAAAAGGGGATGGGGATGTGGCTCAGTGGTTAAGTGCCCCTGGATTCAATCCCTGGTACCCCCCCCCCCCCCAAAAAAAAAGAAGAAGAAGAAGTAGTAGTTGCTATGCAGTAAGTTTCAGTACCTGTTTGGAGTGCTAGGGTAGTGTTGGGTGAATTGCTGTTCTAGGGTAATCAGTGGTCTAATGCCTCAGAAGTTGAAATCATGATGTTGGGGCAATGTGGAGTGAGCAAGATAGTCTGACTTTGGGTGACCTGATGGCAGATGCTTGGTAAGCCCAGTAAAATTAAGGTCTGGAAGAGTGAATGTTGACAAAATCTGATCAGTAATTATATTCTTCATTTTTGTATTAGAGAAGTATTATCACTTATTCACCTCTTCTTATCATTTCATTTTTCTGTTTTCTGCTAGTACACACAATATAAAAAATTCCTTGGTTTAAAATAAATATAGCTCTCAATAGGAAATAAATCAGCTTCTTTAAAAAACAGTCTTTTTGGTGTTCTTTATAAATATGAAAAAGATGTTCTTATTGAAACACATTTAATATGTTCTTTATTTTTAGGAATAAATCCAGATCTACTACTGAATTGAATGATTACTACACAAATAAAAATGGTAAATGAGATTTTTTTTTCAAACTTCTTCAGTTTGATTGTTTGTGCTATCACATGCAATAATCAGTATTTTTAAGGGCAAGATATTTCAGAATTCATTAAGATTACATGATTTAAAAACTATTTTCAGTGTCTGCATATAATAATAAAACAACAACCCTGTGTTTATTGTGGCTTTATTTATAGTAGAAAACTACTTGGAGATTAAAATGGTTTTTAAATAGCTATTTAAATATGTGAGATTTTGGTAAAATGATGCTGATGCAATTTTATTTAGTAAATTTAATTGCAGCTGAAGAAATGGCACAGAAAAGATTTGCAGAATAGATGAAAAAGTTGTATACAAATTTGAAGTTGTGTATTGAAATGCTAAAATATGAAAAAAAATTCCAAAATGATAATGATTTCATTGACTCCACAAAAATAATTTGGAATCTGATCTTATTAGTATAAAGTTTTTTTTTGTTGTTGTTGAGGTGTGGGGCCCCATCCTAGTTCCGGCATATTGCTGACATGTGGGAGCATGCAAGGCTCTCATTGCCAGCTTTTTCTTTTATCAAAAAGAGAGGGAAAAAAAAAGATCTGTTTTTTTACGTGTTTTCTTTTAAGCATTGATAAGGAATTTTAAAAAATTTTAGATTCTCCATGAGCAAAACAACAATATCTAACAAGTCAGAATGTTCTGGTGGCATCTAATTTGTAGCCCCTGGTAAGAGCTTGTAGAATTTATAATTTCCATTAGGGGCTCTGTCATCATATTTTCCCTTGAATTTGTAGGACCTTCTAATATCTGGTCCTAGCATACTTTTCCAGTCTTTTCTGCTCTTTTCCCCTTTAGGAACCCTTAAACATAACCAGATTGTCTTCTCCTAATTCTGAATTTGTCAAGATACTTTTTGATATGGTTCCTCTGGTCTTGGATCTTTTCCTATTTGGATTTCCCATTTCTTCTCCCTGAACTTGCCCCTAGCCACCATTAAAGTTATAGTTTAATCTTCTCTGAAATATTTTTTTTTAAAGTTTTAATTACTTATACATGAAAGTAGAATGCACTTTGACACATCATACGTAAATGGAGTATAATTTCTCATTCTTCTGGTTGTACATGATGTAGAATTACACTGGTCATATAGTAATATATGTAATAGGATAATGTCAGATTCATTCTACTAACCTTTCTACCTCCATACCCCTCCCTCCCTTCACTCCCTTCAACCTAAGTAATAGCTGTATGCTTTCCTGAGTGAAACTCATGATCTGTTAGTAACAGCAGATCTGACTCAGAAATAATATTGTTTGTGATTCTGGTTCGTGTCTCATCCTGTGTGTGTGTGTGTGTGTTCTCTTTATGAAGTTCAAGTTCCTGAGTGGCATGCAGTGGAAATTATTAACTGTTTAGTGGAATAACTTGATTATACCAGTAAGGTTCTTTTAAAATGGAAAATGTTTTCTTTAAAATTCAACCAAAGTGATAAGCTATGTTAAACTTAGGAGTATATAAGGGTGGTTCTGCTCATTGCTTACTGGAAGATGAAACTAAGACATAGATAAACTATGAATTTTGAAAGAATGACAATAGCAGTAAATACAGAAAAATAAAATAAATCCTTGGATAAAATTTTCTAATTGATATTAAGGCACAGATGATACTTCAGTGGATGATACTTTAATCTTAATGTTTTACCCAAATCGTAAATCAGTCAGCAAACCCAAGAGATAAAGCCCTTAGGATAAAACCTGACTTAATGATCATTAATAAATGTGATAATCCAAATTATACTTCTGTAAGTTCCTTAGAACAGAAAGAAGCATAACATTTATTTGGATGGTAACTGTCATTTGGATGCCTGGGCTGTTTTTCCATTTCAGAGACTGAATATGTTCTTAGCCCTGCAGTTTGGTGACATGAATACTCAGGTCGGGTCAGCTAGAAATTCGTGCCTCTGTGGGCTTTCTTTTCCCAAGGGAGTGCAATTTTTTTTTTTTTTTTTAAAGAAAACTTCATGTTCTTACACAGAGTTGTCATAGCCAGTGATCCAGTGATCCCATTCTGGCTCTTCCCTTCTACAGGCAGCCCCTGGGTGTCCCTAGTATGTTCTGTGTTGTGCCTGTGGGTAGGGAACTGGCATCTTCAGAAACAGGAGACAGGTGCTTTCTGTGTCATTGCAGCCACCTCATTGGAAGTTGATAATATGTAAGCATATGTCAGATGTTAAGCTGGACTGTCTTTGGAGATTTATCCACTGTCCTTTCTTATGTACTAACCCTGAAGCTTTTTGTGTATTTTTAATTTAGGAAGCAACAAATACTTGGACCGAATTGGGGGTACAGGCTTTTCACAGAGAAGCTCCAAGAAAGATTCAGCCCCCTCAGAAGCAGAGCTGGAGAGACAACAGATTCTCCAGGAAATGAGAAAGAGAACATCCCTTCACCATGACAATAGCTGGATCCGACAGCGTAGTTCCAGCATAAATAAAGAGCCCATCTGTCTGCCTGGGGTCATGAGAAGGTGGGAGAAGGTTTGGGAATCGCTGCTTCTTTGTTGTGAGGCAAATGCTTAATTTCTAGATGTGCTGGTGATTTGTTTGGACAGAAGAGATATCATAATTTCTTCTACTTACCTGAGGTCTGGCAAGAGGAAGACAAGTAGGAAAAAAAACATTGGGCTCTATCCTATGTCGACCATGAGCCAGATGCTTTGCCTACGACATCTCATTTAATCTGGAGAAACTGGTTTGAAGTAGGGTAGTAATTCTGTGACTCAAGCAGGTAATATAGTTGGACAAGACGACATGGTTAATAGGTTACAAATCTGGTTCTAGAACTCTGAAGTGGGATTGGGATAATTAAATAAGCACTTAGTGCTTTCTGGGCTGCCAAACTTTAAAAAAGGTATTGAAACTTCTGTTTATAATGAGATGATGATTAGATTGGAATTATCAAAATGGGATTTGCAAAGTGTGAAAAATCTAAGTTTTCTAACTTTAAAAAGTTAAGTATACAGAATAAATTAGAGATGAAAAGATGAATATTTTAAAAGATAAATCTTGGTAAACAAATCCTGCAGCTACTTTGAGTCAGTATTTCCTTATTTGACAAACTGGGCAAAGTTATTTTTAACACCCTAGAGACAAAAAGTTCATTTTCTCAGCATACAAATATCTTCTTAAAAATCAGTAAATGAACCTTAATGACTATAAGAAAATAGGTGATTTGAGCAGGCGGTTTATAAGAAAAAGAAACAAAAAGCCAATCAATGTATGAAGATCAACACTATTCCCAAAATAACAATGATATGTCTCTTTTACTTAGGAGATTTGGAAAGAATTATATGATTGCTTAAACTTAGTAATTGTATAAGCAAATAGGAATTCTTCCCAGTTGGGTGGATAGCTTTTCAGTGTGTATTAAGCAAAGTTTTATACATCTGAATTCAGTGAACAATTAAGTTTCTAACATTCTTATCTTCTGGATGTATTTGGATAAGTCTGCACAAATATATCCAAAATGATGAACACTTACACATTATTAATAATGACTGAAAAAAATCACCATGTCCTCTGTGCAAAGGGTACTTAATAGTTGTTCAATAGGTAGTGGTATACCAGAAAGATAAAATACTATATAACCATTAAAGGAAGAGAAAGACATTGCTGCATAATATAGCACTTCAAAACCTAGTGGGTTAAAATAACAACTCGTTCTTTCTCTCAGATCTGAGGGTTGCCTGGGAAATTCTTTGCATGCAGTTGACTGGGGCACTTGAGCAACTGTTGTCATTTAGAGTAGGAGCTGGTAATTTAAAAAAAAGTAGAATAACATTTTAAAAAGAAAAAATAAAGGACTAGACAGTAAATAAGTTTTGTTGGCTGCAGGGGTCTCTGTCACCTATTCTTTGTTTTCTTAATGACTCTTTGAAAAATGAGCTATATATATCTTGGCAATGGGCTGTAATTTGTTGCCCCTCATGCAGAGGGCCCTCTGAAGAGCTTAAGCCATATCTAGTGGTTAGAAATGTCTGTTCTTACCTGTGCTGCTCCACATAGCTGCCTGGGCTTCCTCATGGCATGGCACCTGGATTCAAACAGGTAGACTGGCAGAAGGACATATCCTAATATGTAAGTCTTCTTCCATTCCATGTGCATCATGGCTGCTGATGCCTGTTGGCCACAGATCAAGCCTAAAGTCATTGGCAGGGACTACACAATAGAGTGGATTCCAGAAGGTATGGTTCCTTGGGAACCAGCAAGGTACCATCTGCCACATAAATAGGCATGAAGTTATATGTTAAGTGGTAAATGAGTTATTGAAGACTGTGTTATAGCATTATCCCACTTAAGAATGTTAACAGGCAAATACCTTGCATGTGTATATAAACACATTTGTACTTCTGAAAATTTGATTGTATATGTAAATATTTGCACATGTGAGAAACGTGTGAAGGACCTGTAGTTAGCACAGGTTAGGTTAGGGCAAGTGTGGTAAGTGAGGGAAGGGACCCTTGAAATCCCTCATATACTGTTCTGTGTTGTGTGAGTTTTTCCATGTGATATATTACTCTTATAATGTTAAAGTTAAATGCATATTTTAAGCTTGACATATGAGAATATTTAAGAGTAATAGCAACACAATTGATAAGTGAGGAAAAAACTTATAATTTGCAATTAATATTGGTTGATCAGTATTAATGTAAGTATACAACTTTAAAAGAGATTTTTCAGAAGGTGTCTTTAAGTCAGTTTGTGAGCTAAATGTGTTTTCAATTTAAGGGATTGGTTGGCAAATGCTTCTGGTAATGTGGACATTAAGCAGTTGGAATTTAGGGTTTTGGATGGTGAATTATTGAGCATTTCATGGAAGGCTAGTCTGTGTTATTTTGAAATCAGGGTGACTGGGTTGAAAGCTGATTACCACCCTTGACTGGCTCTAACTGTGGTCTGCTTAACTTTGATGAGATTTAAAAAATCTTTTATAGAATTGTGGAGACTAAGTTTAATACTGTTGTGAAAACATCTAGCCTAATACTTATCATATTTAAGTGCTTAAATATAGTTTTGGATTGAATTTGAAAGACTGTAAAATTTATATGTCTAAACTATCAAAGATAATGGTTGTCTGTCTTACTGTTAGCTTTTATCTTAAAAAATACTTTTCTTTCCACTTTGGTTGTACTTATTTTATCTAAGCACCAAGTGAATGAAGTAAAAGTGAAGGTTGATTGAAATGTGAAACCTCATGCTAGCTCTGATGATGAGCAATTTACCTGTTCAAGGTAATTTTCTATGTAAGTGGATGTAAATTAATACCTGCTTTAGAAGTACACAGAATGGACCTTTTAATGGTTGTAATGATGTGTTGAATAGGTTTCTAGTTGGATGCCTAATGCTGTTTTGATGAGTCCTTTACGTGTTTCAGAGGTGAGTCTCTAGATAACCTGGACTCCTCCCGATCTGCTTCTTGGCGACAGTCCCCTTGGCTTGGTCAGCCTGCAGGCGTCTATGCTTCTTCCTCTGTTCAAGACTTCAGTCGCCCACCACCTCAGCTGTTGTCCACATCCAACCGTGCCTACATGCGGAACCCATCCTCCAGTGTGCTGCCTCCTTCTGCTGGCCCTGGGAAGGCCACCACGGGCGGAGTCACCAACCAGACCCCTGCCCCTCGCAGCCATTCCCCTTCCACTCCACAGCCACAGCCACAGCCAGGCACTCAGCCCCGCAGCAGGTGAGGCCCTTTGTTTTTCTCCTCTCCTTCTCTTAGTCTCAAGGTTTTTTAAATCAAAATTTCCCCTAAATCTTGTTCAAGCTTTCAGTGAAAAAAGAACAGCACATTTGAATATGTCACAGTCAGATTGAGAAGACTTTCTTAATATCTCTTCATGCTACCCTAATAGTATTTATAGATGTCTCAGAAGTCAGTGGAGACCTTGAAGATGTCTACCAGTTGCCAGGGTTTTCTTGGCCTGAGCGTGTGGTCAGTGTCTTGGTGTAAGACATATCTGAATAGTCCTCCATGTGGAATCATAAAAACATATACTAGATCACAGATGCTTTTCCTGTTTATGGGTAAAAGCAGTATTGTAAAATGTTTGGCTGTTTTAATGACACTGCAATACAAACTCATTTTATAGGAACTGAGTATAAGAGAAGACATTATAATCAAGTGTTCATAGTCTGGTGAGCTTTAACAACCTGGGTTTAAAAAAATATTAAGTAGGTTAGGTCTTTGGTTTTGGGGTTTTTGATTGCCAGAATCCTTGCTTAGATGTTACCTGGTTTGCCATCATTTTGTTCAGGCTACATCAACTGAGTTCCATAGTTCACATGGGGTGGGAAGTGTGTGAGAGTTTAATAGCATCACTAGCCACGTGCCTTGTGCTGTGGAGTGAAGCTCAAATGTCAGAGTGGGTTTCTTTTGTGTTTCGTGTAAGTACATGCTTCTGTTGTCACCCCAAGGGAATTCTGGCACATGCTACATTTTTTTTTTTTTAAACAAATGGAACAATTTTTAAAGGTAGAATATACATTGATATTAAGATTTTTTTAACTATCAAAGAAGAGACTTTTATAAGGAATCTTTTTATAATCCAATATAATGTTGCCTATGCCAAAATCTACAAAATGTATCTTAAAGAGTTTGAAGTAAAAGAAAAGGGGTAAGGATTTATGATCAGTTTGTCAGCAGAGGCGAAGTTTGTGCAGAGGAGAGGATCCATTTATTTACTGGGATCCCCACTTACCACATGCTAGAAGAACAGAGGTCAGAGGGATGATCATTGAGCTTCTCTTCCCTGAGAAGATCTCTATGGCCTTCAACATTGGACACTCAGCAGCTATGCACTGCTCAGCACCACTGAAGTTCTGTGCTAATCCCTAGGGATTAGAGGTAAGGAGGAAGTGGCTGTCACTTCAGCACTGCAAGAGATGAGACCTACATCCAGAAGTAAAGTAGAAACTCCTTCTATATGGAAATGGTAGCTGCCTGGCGGTATTTATTTTATTCTCTGCTGAGCCAGTTGTTTAGGCCAGAGACACAGGCAGGAAAGCACTGACACTTTGTTTAATTAGAAAATTGGGCAAATAAGAAAGAAAAGTAGAACTCCCAATGCCTGTTGAGGGAAGTTGGGGCTGCTCTTCAGTCTGAGGTATGGAGTGACATGATTAGAGTTGCATGCTTTGGCAGGTTTAACTGGCATGAAAATGTAATGGATTAGAGGAGGGGAGGTATTGCTAAGTAGGTCTATGATCTAAGGAGAATGGTGTCATACAGTGCCGAGTGGACTAATTACACTGGAACTGTTCATGTAGGTGAGTATTTGTCCGGGGTCCCAGAGCTGCCATGCAGATCATTCACAGTTACAGTATAATTGAGGCATGCTGTGCTTGTCTGGTAAAATTTTTCTCCCACAGATACAAACAGCCTTCCTTAAGTTGCTATTATGGATGCGAATACCAGAGTGTGATTTTAAATATGAATCTCATGTGTGCAGGTGAACGCTTCCATTCCGTTCTTGTTCTGTGTCTAGGTCAGTCAGTGGGAAGCGAGTGTGCTCCTACTGTAATAACATTCTGGGCAAAGGAGCTGCCATGATCATCGAGTCCCTGGGTCTTTGTTATCATTTACATTGTTTTAAGGTGAGACTGAGATAAATAGCCTGCAGGCCTGCAAAGCTTTGCTTGGAGAGCGCATGGCTTCTTTGAGCCGCTGGGTGTGGATGTGCCACTAACAAGCTAGGTGCTATATTTGTCCGTCTGTGCTTTGTTGGAATCAAAGATTGCTTGCTATTACTTAGTTCTCAAATTTTGAATCTAGTCATAAGTGAATCTGGAAACACTATGCATTTCCTATCTCTAATCTCTGAGAATTCTATAAATAAAATTTACAGTGCATAAATGTTTAACATGCTATCATAGGCATACTTAAAATATAATTTACCAATGTTATTGAAGACATAGGGACCTGAAATTATGACAGGGTCTAAAAGCTTACCTTGGAATAGGGAGAACACAAAGGAAAACCATTGCAAATATTTAAAAAATTGCACAGCCTGCTTATACCTGACAGGTTTTTGTACACAAAAAGTGCTAAGGCTGTGACTGTTTAGCATTGTCTGTCTCTAGAGACAGACAATCTATTTGATTCTTAGACTTACTTTGGGCCAGAAGAAAGGCCCCCTGTTGATCCTGGATTCCTACAGACCATTGTTGGTTGAAATGTGTCCATAGCTGGCTTGCACTGTTCCTAGGCAGAACAGAATGACTCAAAATAATTAGTGTTTGAGCCTTGAAGAGAAGAGCCTGTGGAAACATTTGCCAAGCTAGTGTGGCAGGAATACTGGAGGTGGCTTCCCCCAGAATGGAGTGCCAAAACCCGAACTCCATTCACTTCAGCCAGTTCTTTTATGTGGTGATGTACCCTCCATTCCCTGGGGGGCTATGAAGACTAAATCTCCTTAAGCCAATTAGCAGATTATTTCTACTTTATTTGGGGCTCTATTTAAAATGGTCATCTTGGCTCTTAAAATTGACTTTATGAATTTTTTAATGTCCTATCTGGAAGAATTGATTTTAATCTACTAATCATTTCTTGCCCCCCCTCACTTTGCTTTTTCTTTGTTTGAAATGTATTCAAGAGCTTAGAAGCTGCATTTTGCTTCTTTTTTTTTTCTTTACTTTTTTTTTCTGGGTGCGCCCCAAGCTTCCTTGAGCTAATTGTACATGGGTTGTTTTTTCTTTTTCCTTTCTCTCTCTCTCTCTCTTTTTTTTTTGGCTCCCAGTGTGTGTCCTGTGAGTGTGACCTCGGAGGTTCTTCCTCAGGAGCCGAAGTCAGAATCAGAAACCACCAGCTGTACTGCAACGACTGCTATCTCAGATTCAAATGTAAGAGAGCAAATCAGAGAGAAAATTTCTTGTCTTTTAAGGAGACCGCGGGTTCCCATGCATTTCCCTGAAACTGTAGCCATGTCCCCTTCAGCTTCACTGCCATAGGGATCTAGATTTTAGGGATCTTAGTCTATCCCCTTCGAAGAGGGTGTGTAGTATATGGTTCACTGCTTGGGGTCCAGCCACAAGGGTGGGTTATAGGGTAGTGGAACTGGAGAGGAACTTGTACCCAAAAGTCCAGACCCTGCATCTCTTGTTATCTGCATAGGGTCTGAATAACTCAAGGGGACAGTTAAACCAAAACAGACAAAGTGACTGAGGGTTGATCTCTCCCCAATGGCTTGTTTTTATTGTTTAACAATGAGCTTTGTTATGTGGTTTAGAATATGACCAAATTTGCAAGTGATCATTTAGAGTACTGGAGAATATCAGCTTATTCTCCATGTTACTGTCTAATCAGATATCATTACACATAGCATTTTAAAAGAGCCTTAATTCTTATCTGACTATATAGTGTTTAGGTGTCATTTTTTGCAAGATGCATTTTCCAAAACTTCAGATGCTAGTTGTGTCTAAGCATTTGTGTGTTATAAAATATAGGGTAGCATATTTGGGTTGTGTGTTGTTTATAGCTACAGCAAGACAAACATTAGTGCTGTGTATATTTTGAACCTTGATGCTGGTAACATGTTTCTTCCTTACTGTGAAGTGGTGTCACAAGTGGTATCAGCAAAACCATTTGCTTTTGAACTCTGAGGTATTTATATGACCCCTTATGTGAAGAGTGCTTTGGAAATAGTTTAAGCCCTATCAACTCTCTCTTATCTGTTGGTGGCTTCTGAGCCTTCTTTCCCCAGCTGTTCAGTCAGTCCTCCCTGGACACTGACGCTGAGGTTGGAGAGTGGCAAGGCTGGGCATGGCTGGGGAGTGTGTGTATGTGTGTGCCCTTTTCTTTCTTTGCTCCAAAGCCAAATATAATTGATTTTTAGAATCATTATTATAAAATTGCCCATGCCTTTTTTTTTCTCCTTCAATGCAAATAATAGAGAGTTGAGTGTAATTTCTTTCTATGTCAGCAGTTCATTTTTATTCCATTTTTACAACTAAGGAATTCTGGAGCCCAGAGGCTGCGATTTGCCCAGCTTTATCCTAAAACTGAGTGACAGGTTACTCTCTCTACCTCACTGGGCCACTGTTTGAGTGATGACTGCTATGTAGCCCATGAAGCGATATTCACTCGTTTCTGAATCTAAGCACTTTTCTCTCTTCTCTCCTTACCTGATCAGCTGGACGGCCAACTGCCATGTGATGTAAGTCTCCATATGAAAGCACTGTTGCAGATAGAAGAAGAGGTGCTTGCTGCTGATGTAGATCTATAAATATGTGTCTGATGTCTTTTTTGCTCAAAAAAAGAATAACTCTTCTCCTTCTTCTTTTTGCTTTATTAGATTATGTAGGACCATTATAGTCTTGGTAGACCCTATATTTTTGTTTGTTTATTTATAAGAAGGTAATTTTGTGTGGAAAAAGTGCAGTATTTACTTTTTTGAAGACAGCATCATAAAAGCACAAGGGAAAAAATAAGAACTTAAAAATATTTTTGAGGCTGATGATGATCAAGTTTTGACTATTTAGTGGTGTTTTGAAGAGGGTATTTTATTGTTTTTTTTAAAAAAGTTCTTAAAACATTATTTGAAATAGTTAATATAAATATATAATTGTACTTGCTCTGTTTATTGTATACTAAGTTAATGTGGAAACACATGAAAATTTTCATTTAAATCCATCCCTAAATTTGCTTTCTGTATCCTTTTTTTCCACCTATGTAATATGATTGAAAGAAATTTTTAGCTTATGTAACATTTTATTTTGCTTGATGAGGAGAGCTCAGTTTTCTTCACCAGAACTGTTGCTAAGCAATTCAGTAGAAAGCTGCTTATTTTCACTAATGAAAAATAACCATGGTTTGTATCCTAGAAGTTTTCTTCAGAACCTAATGAGCCTTTCTGTTCAGCTGCATTTGTAAATAAACTTGCTGATGCATTTAAGGAGTGGTCCTCTTTCTTGTGTGTATGTGTCTCCCTTTCAGTCCTTTAGATCATATTTTGGTATATGGTCTTTCTTGACACTTTTATTTAGCAGCTTTACAAAGATATAATGCACATATAATAATCTACACATATTTTAAGTGTACAATTTGACAAATTTTGATAGTGCGTAAGCCTGTGAAACTATCACCCATAGTCTCAATGGTTTTACTGAAACATTTTAATGAGGAATGTTTTAGTCAGCTTTTTCATCACTGTGACCAAAAAACCTGACAAGGACAACTAGAGCAGGAATTTTTATTTTGGTTCAGTTTCTGAAGTTTAGACCGTGGTCAGCCAACTCCATAGCTCTGGGTCTGAGGTGATACAGGGCTTCATGGCAGAAGGGTGTGTTGGAATAAAGCAGCTCAGGACACAACAACCAGAAAGCAGAGAGCTCTGCTCATCAGGGACAAAGTATAAACCCCAAAGGCACACCTCCAGTGACTTATCTCCTCTAACCACACTCTACCTGCCTACAGTTGCCACTCAATTAGTCCACATCAGTGGATTAATCCACTGATTACATTGCAACTCTCATAATCATTTCACCTCTGAACATTCTTGCATTGTTTTAAACATGAACTTTTGGGGCACACCTCATATCTAAACCATGTCAAGGAACTTGATTTTTTGATAAAAGTTATATTTTTTAATACAGTAAATTTTTCTGGTAAGAGATACTACGTAGGTGATGAATTATTGGTTCATTTTAATAAAATCTTCACTTTTGTTGCCCCAGTAAATTTAGAAAATCTGCAGAGCAAAAAATATACTCTGTTTTAGTAATTTGGAGTTGGAATGCAAGAATATAAAACTTAAGCAAAAATATAAACAACTTGCTTGAATTCTTTAGAGTAATATAAGCAGAGTGGGTAATTCCAGGAAATGAGAACTGTGTTGGAATGTGCTTAAAATATGTAATTAAATATGTAATTAAGAAGTGGTAATGGGGGAGAAAATTAAAAATTTAGTTTCAGATTTTATTTTGTTAAGCACTTATTTGTTATTTCTGATTACTGAAGTAGTTATATTTATTGAAGAAAATTTGCCAAATGGTCTACAGTATAAAGAATGTATACTCTCAGTCCCAAACTCCAAAGAAAAGAGCAGTATTTAAAGTCAGTCTGCATATAGATACTTATAATGCCTTCTTAGTTAAACTGGATTGTGAACAATTTTCATGTTCTTAAAATCATTTCTGTTTTAGTTGTTCTTTTTGGTGCTGAGGATTGAACTCAGGGCCGTGAGCATGTTAGAAAAGCACTCTACAACCAAGCTGCACCCCCAGCTCTCTCTCTATTTTGAATAGTTGCAAAAGAGCTCCATTGTTTGGCTCTACTAATATGTAGTTGATAATTTCACTATTATATACATTTTAGTTCCCAATATTTAAAAAACTTTGTATATATAATTATAGTACATAATGTAAATCTATTTCTAATATAAATCCTATATGACCATGATCATATCTATTTATTATTTTCATAGACTTGTGATTATGTGATTTAAGGCTCCCCTGACTCATATTGCCAAAATGGTTTCCAGTAAAGTGTTACCAGCTCCGACCCTCATGAGCAGTGTTTGGGCTTGTCCATCTCATGACTTATTTATGAAGATGAATTTCTACTGCCTTGTGCTCTGCCTATCATATTAGCCCTCAGTATGCACTAGTTAAATAACCACTGTTTCCTGTTTCAGTTTCTGCCTTTTTTGCTCTTCACTGCCTCCAGTGCATGCTTTAATTCTTGCATCATGATTTTAGTGTTATTCAGTGTCTTTTCTGACCATTATTCCTTTTCATCTAAGCCTTTTTTAAAAAAAATTTTTTAGTTGTCAATGTATTTATTTATTGACAATAAAATTATTATCAATGTCAATAATTTTAATTATTTATATGTGGTGCTGAGAATTGAACCCAGTGCCTCACGCATGCTAGGCAAGTGCTTTACAACTAAGCCATAACCTCAGCCTTTTCATCTAAGCCTTTTGTGTTTTCTTTTTATTCTGGAAATAGAAAATGTAGATTTGTTTTTTCTTCTCTGTTGTTGTGACTTTTCTCCTCATTTCTCACACTATCTTGGTTTACGATACAAGTTTTGTTAGTACAAATTGTTAAGTATGGTTTCTGAGATTTTATTTTAGGATACTGGTTCTTCAATATCTTTGTATTATTAAGGCATAAACCCATTGGTATTTATTTGTCATATCATTGAAGAATAAGGGAAGATTCAATCATTCAATAAATTTTTATTCAAACTTTGTGTCAGGCATTGCTTTGGGTACTGTGACTAAATACAGCAGTGATTAAATTCTGACTGGGTTTCTATTTCTCTTTGAGGGAGATGATAAACCAATATGTGAAAATAGGATATACAGGTGGTGAAATGAATAATGGAGAACAAATAGCCAGAGTAAGAAGGATCCAGGTATGGATCGTGTGGATGGGCAGAGGACAGCCTCTTAGACAGTAGAGACAAAGGAATGAGTGGCCAAACCATGCACATCCTTGAAGGAAAAGCATCCCAGACCTGGGGCACTGCAAGTACCAAAGTCTTAAGGCTGGAGTTTAGGTGGTGTGTTCATGAAACAGCCTTGTGGTTGGAGTGGAATTAGTAAGGAGGTTTATAGATGTGGGGAGGGAAGCCCAGACAGCAAGCCATTGCAGGACCTTGACTTTTATTGTGAATAGTATCAGAAGACATTGGAAGGGTTTGAGTGAATGCCGCAGTCTGGTTGGGCACAATTCAGGAGCCACTTGTCAAAAGAAACGAACTTTATTTTTAGAACACACACCGCACCACACAGCTCTTCAGGAATCCCCTCAGAGCCCAACTGCCACCACCGGCTTCCCACAAGCCTCTCCACCTCCCCCACTCCTCCTGCTCTTGAGGCCAATTGGCTGGGTCTCGTGGGCTGAGCCAAAAAAAAGTCCCCCAATGAGTAGCTCTGTGGCCTGAAAGGGTGGGGAAACAGCCCAATGAGCATCACCGCAGAGGAGCCAATCAGTTGGCAGCTAGAAGTTTGCTGGGGCTGCTGTGAGCCAATCATCAGCTGGCAGCTGGAAGTTTGCTGGCAGCTGGAAGTTTGCTGGGGCCCCTTCCGCTGTGGCTCTCAACAGTGAAAGAGAGAAATGAACTGACTTATGCATTAAAAGGACTACAGACTACTGTGTGAACCAGAGCTTGCAAAAGGATAAAGGTAAAAGCAGGGAGACCAGTTCAAAGAATACTGGAATTATCCAGGCAAAAGTCGATGTTTTCATCAACAGGGTAAAAACAGGGGAGATGGGGTAGAAGATTATGTGGGGTGTGTGTATGTGTGTAGAGTGTCTGTATATTGACATTAAGCTGACAGAATTTAATGATGGATTAGATATAGCATCAGAGAAAAAAGAAAAGCAAAAATTACTCAAATGTTGGCTTTAAGGAGCCAGAAAAATGAAGTGGTCATTTTCTGAAGTGGAGGAGATTGTGGGTGGAGTACATTTTGAGTAGTGAGGCAGGAGGCCTACTAAATATCTATATGGCTGGCTATGCAAGTGTGGAGTTCAAGGGAGAAGACTAGACTTGAAATAGAAATGTAGAATCAGTGGTGAGTAAATTGAATTTTCAAGCTGAGAGTCAGGAGGACATCACCAGGATTCTGACTGTAACTAGAGTGGAGAAGATGTTCAAGGACTGAGTCCTGAGATTCTTCAGCATTATGAATCAGACTTGTAAAAACGTGTCCACTCAGCCAGGAAAAGAGCCAAGACTCTGGTGCCATGGAAGCCAAGTCAAGAGTGTAGTTCAAGAACAGATAATCCTGTTATAACAAATGTTTCTCAGAGACTCAGTAAAATGAGGAAGAAAATTGACAACCAGGAATCTCCGATGGGCTTTTTCCCTTGTCCTGCATGTATTGGTGTTGGTGGACTGCTCTTCTCAGAAAGTCCATGTGAGCCCCTTCCCATATACAATACCTAGCCCATTTTCTAGCATCTGGCAGCTTTTAACTCAAGGACCCTGCTATTTTTGCCTATTTCCCCAGTGATTTGAACCTGAAAGAGAACATGGAAAGTCATTTCTCACCCACTTTCTATCTGTACCCACCTTCATACTAGCAACTGGAATTGCACTTCCTGATGTGTTATATTTCATCTCAACATACATGGAGTCCTACCCTTCTCTGTGGCTTTGTGGAAGGGAAGATATTGAGGTTGGAGCTACCCTGACTGCTTCAGGATTCAGAGCCAGCCAACTGTGTGGCATTTCTGCTCTGATGTGTTCTGATACTCAAATTTCTGGTCTCTTAGCAAAGATATAGGCTGTTGTCATGCTGCTACATTTCACGCTACAAATAAGCTTTGGCCCTTAAATGATGGTTCACAATTCATGCAAGTAAGAATAGTATTAAAAAAGCTAAATTAAAAAGATAAAGTATTAATCTTTGGTTAACAACCATCTCTGGGGCAAGAAAACAACTTCTAGATTCTTCTTAGAAAACATGTATGTTGTATGATGAATACAAGGCAAACCTTACACTCATGAAGGAGAGGCACATATCCAAAAGATTCTAGAGACCTGAACTATGAGAGAAATACTTTGTTTAGGAATCCAGGAGTCAATTACACTAAGGGAGTAGAAGTGACTTCACAATTGATGACATTTGAACACATCTTTAAAGGCAGATGACAGCTTAACAGAGCATATGGGATGATTTCCACATCCCAGTGGTTCTCCCTACTCCATGTTCCCATCAAAACCTTCCATAGTTTGGCCTGTTTTGTGGAAATATGAGCAGGGGACTAGATACACTCTGTCAGATAATGTGTCTGGGAAGTGGCAGTTATCTGACCCAGTACCAAAGAGAATTAGTATCCTAGTTCAAGGTTCTACAACACAGCATCAGGCACAACAATTTATTACCTATTGTATAGGGGCTGGGGTTGTGACTCAGCTTGCCTAGCATGTGCAAGG